ATAATAATAATAATAATAATAATAATAATAATAATAATAACAATAATTTTGTATTGAGATTTTTTTGCTACAATGTATTTTGCTGATGTTTTTACGTAAATGTATAAGAGTTTGCTATTATTCTAAATAGGCTTTGAGTAGAGATAATTATATCATCATGTCTTTGCGTAGGTTTTACAGAGTATATATAAGAATTTAACACTATTCTAAATTGGCTTTTTAAGTGGAGAGAATCATATCATTGTGTATGTTAGGATTGTATTAGGTTTCGTACCGCACTTTTTCTACTTCTAAGTGCAGCTTGTCAAGTGGTGTAGGTAAGGTTATGCGCCCTATACTACTTATAATGTGGACAGCATTCTAACATTTTATACTGCGAGATAATAATAATAATAATAATAATAATAATGGTATTTGGAGTATCCTAGGTCACAGGCTCTGACCCAATTAATACTCTGCAACATTTCCTGCATTGTGTGGCGATAGGGTTATAATAATAATTGAATAATAGTCATGATGATCAGTCACCTCTTTATTAAGATTTTTCACAGAAAACGGGCTCTGCTTTTGGTCTGTAGTGGGCTGTGGTATTTTGAAATTAGTTTTATTCATAAAAAGGACCCCCCCTAAAAAGTCGGCTTTTAACTGTGGTTCACAGAACACACACACCGTGAGTCCTCACAAGAAGGTGAAAAAGCAACAAACTGAAGAGAAGTATTTATTTTTCACAAAGCACTTTAAGAGGCGCTCAAAAAAGCTATAAAGATACTTGCATTAAACGCTAAAGTTGTTTTCAATTTAATACACTCGGTAATTCCTAATATAAGTCAGATGGAGTCTGTAACAGCATTACACACAGTGTGTGTGTTTTATGTAGAATTGTAGTGTGTAAACCACTAAAAGATGTTTTTTTCGTTAACGTAAGTGTCTTAATGGTTTTCTTGGGCATCTCTTAATGTGCTTCAGGGCAAGAAAATAATTTTTTTGCAGGGTCTGTTTTTTACCTTCTTGTGGGGACTCAACTTGTGTGTTCTACTGACCCAACTTACGGGGACCCTTCGGGGGTCCTCATTATGAGGGTGTACTTTCAAAGAATTACCTATTTAAGAGGACTTTTTTAGTGGGGACTCGGAAATATCCCCATAATTTGAACAGACCCCACTTTCCTGGTGTGTTTTCATATGAATGTCCCCACAAGTGTGCAGCGGTGAGTGTGTGAGTGCACACTGGGTGTATCAACACACACAGAAGAAAAGATTAAAATTTCCCTTACCTTCTCTGATTCTAGTAAAACGATTCCATTCTTTACAAATTCTTCTTTTGTTTTTGCAATTCCTTCAGGTGCAACAGTCCTCTACAAGCATCCACTATGACATGAGTCTTGAAGCCTTGTCCGACAGCATCTGTGGCTGTTTCTTTCACACACACATCAAAAGCCAATCCACACACATAAAGATCTGTCACTCCACGTTTTAAAAGGTCAACAAATAAAGATGTTTGTGTACAGTCGCCGTTATCCCAAAATGCTGAGAAAGAGTCCACTCCAGGATTTTTTCCCTTTTTGACAGTGATGTCCTTATCTGAAGGAGGCTATAAAAGTTTCTTATATCAATAAACTATTTTTGGGAAGCTTTGTATGCCATGGCCAGGGTATAAGGGAAGCTTTGTATGCCATGGCCAGGGGCATTGCCTGAGAGTTTGAAGGTATAAGGGGGCTGAAGGTGGCTCAAACTAGGGGGCTTGGGGGGCAGGCTCCCCCAGAAAATGTTTAAATTTAGGGTCTCTGAAATAGACATTTTTAGCGAAAAAAAAAATACGAAGTAAAGCGCAGTATTTAATTGTTTATTTTACCTATCTTTTATCTCTTGTGCTATAAGTGGGTAAAACATTGATGTCATCAGAGCCATGTCCAGCCCTGGCCATGAAATCCAGACTCTCTTCACTTCTTACTTAGTTCCACACTTCTCAGAGGTGTGGAAGTGTGGAGTAGTCTGACAAAGTAAGGATATTGTCGCACTTTCCCCCAGTCATGAACACCCTTGGCATTCTTTACTTTATAGTTCCACACTTCTCAGAGGTGTGTAAGTGTGGAATAGTCTGACAAAGTACGATGAAAAAGTTCTCTCTCTTCATTATCCCTGGAAAGGAAGCTCTAAGCCTTAACTGTTTATTCTTATAAAATTTTAAAGCAAATTACTTTCTAGAAAAAAAAGCCAGTCAACCAAATCGCATGTATACTGAATAACTAATCAAACTTAGCTAACAACTGACATGGCGACTGAAACAGAAATACTGTAGTTCAAAACATATTACTTGTCCAACGGCCCATAAGCTAGGGCTGCTGTAGTTTGCAAAGTGTGTTTAACGTAAGAGCTCGCTGATCAAACGTTTGGGGAGCAAAATTTTAGCATAGTTGGTGATCTTTCTAGTTGCTTACTAGTGCAGAATATAATTAATCATTTTGGACAACAAAAGAGGAAAGACTGATTGCAATGCTCCAATAAACTGTTCTTAACAGGCTATATATACAACCCTAACCAAATTGCGTTAAGTGATGAAAGGCACATCGGGTAACTTTCGTTGCCCGTTAGCTGCTGAGAAACTGGAAGAATACTAGACTTTTGTAAGAAAGTCAAGGCTGAGAATTGAATAATTTAAGAACATCTTAAGAACACTACTGGCTCAGCCATTGTAAGAAAAGTTGAAGAAGTTACCAAAAAAAACTGAATAAAAATGACGTGACGTGACATTTAATGTTTGGCTGGACATATACTTTTGCTCCTTCAGCTCATCGCCACCCCCGTGCCCCCTCCCCCCCCCCACCCACGTCTCCCACCCACGTCCCCCCCCCCATATGGGAACTATAAGTTGGAGAAGCTGAAGGAGCAATAGCTTGTTCCAGGTTCTGATATTAGTCGAGTCCGCGAAATTGAGAAAGCACCAATACGAAAATAAGACGGGAGGAAAATGGGGAGAGAAAGGGTTCTCTCCCTTTATTCGTCCGCCACCGCCCCTTTTTCCAGATCACGCTGTTATCATATTTTAGCGCGCCATACAACATCTTTCCTCCTTCTGAAAGCTGACAAACAAAAGAATGACGCCCCCAGAAAATTCACTTAAAATGTTACCATTCTGCGTACTATTGCATTGAACAGATCTTCATTGTGGAGGTGTCTAACAACATGGGAAGGTCAGAGAACGATCAGGAAGATGAAGAACCGGAATCATTTGTTTTTTTTCTTTGAAACCCTGGGTTACCAAGTAAGATGTTCAAGTGTTTTTACTTACCACTCATTACTAGTTCGATGCATATGCGTGTGATGAAAATAACCGACTTCGTTTCAGGATCGGGTGTAATGTGACGACGAGGACGGCAACGAGAACGTCATAAAAACAATAGGTTTAATAAGCAAATCAACAACTTTGCACGTGCATCACCCTTTTTTGCACATTTATTTCCCGTTTTTGCACGACTACGATGTGAAAATGGCTAATTTCGCGTTTTATGGAGAACGTAAACGAGGAACGACGAAATTTTATCTCTGTTTCCGAGCTTAAATATGGTCCCTTGAAATTCTGCTTTAGGAGGGTTCGCCTACAATTGACAAAGGAAGTGGGTAGGAAACGGGGAACGCAAATTCACTTTTTAAGCGACGTTCTTGTTGCCGTCGCGTTTTGGACGTTAAAGTCCTTAATTTGACAGGTTTAAGGCCGTCTTTGAAATAAAAATATCACAGTTTCTAGTGCCAAAAATTATATTTACCTTACACAAAAGGAAAAAAAGAACTACCAAAATAGGCCAGACAAGTTCGTTAGCCCAAGCAATCGATACCAAGCGAGAAAACAAAATCGATATGGGAAAACAAATGAAACCACAGCACTTTTTCATTAACCTGTACGAAATGATTTGAAAACAGAAAGAAGGAAGACTTATTTCGCTTAAAGTGAACTCATTTTTTAAGCGATCCACGTTGACGTGAATATCGTTTTCATTCCCTTTATATTCCCTTTTCTACTGCAGCATGTTTTCATTGATCTTCGTGTTTGTTTTTGGCGGATTTCTTTCCCAAATTGTGACCGACCCTTCCAAGCTGACGGTAGGCCGTCTGAGACCCAGTTTTATGGCTGCATGCAAGGCTAATCTAACTGGACCTGGTTGTCAAGGTTACGTTACAAGGGATGTGTGCACCGGGGATCTTTTTTAAATAAAACTTGCCAGGTATGAAACAATGTGATTACTTTGGAGTAAAACTCGTGAAATTCCTTGCCAAGGACCCAGTTATCAGAGGCCTCTTTTCCCTGGTATCAGGGTAGAGGTAAGTGTTATCAGCTGAGCCAAAGGCCGAGGCTGATAACACTTACCGAGCCCTAGATTATTTAGGATATCCCAAAAACCGAATCTAATCAGATAATTGTTTTATTTTACATCGTTTTGAAGAAAATAACGACAAACACACCGTCGCAAGGAAACTGAATTGATGGTATTGATATAGGAAATCATGCATTGCACGCTCAACCTACAGATTAGTCAGTTATCTGCTAGCAGATAACTAACTAATCTGTAGGTTGCATTGATTTCCAAAATTAGCTGTAGGCTCTCATCCAGTGAGAGGACAGATAATGAGTACAATGTGTAATAACCTTAATTATTTCACCGCAGTATGTCTTTTCCGTCTGGACACTCTTCTATTTCCATGTATGGCATGCTGTTCTTGGCGGTAAGTTAATTATAGCAACGTACGCTTACCAGTTTCATATTTTCGACAGTGAACTGGAACTAGTTTGAAGACAAGGCAACCGAGTAGGGTTATAAACAAGCCTCGACTACACGCTATTGCCAGTTTATTGCCGAGCCAACTATATTGGAACCATAGTGAACAGGAGGGGAGAAAACTGACTGAAAGTTTCTGCGAACATCTCCAAGACATAAAAATAATTTCCAAAGAACCATCAAAACTATTCCTTTATCCAGATCATTTTAACACAGGGAAATCTGTGGTCTCTCCCTAGATTCACGTTTTTTAGAAAAGGCAGAAAACCGTAGGAATTTCAATGGAACAAAACTGGTCTGAGTTGCAGACGTCAAAAGGGGATGGACAATAAGGGAAAACTAGGAGAGGGGAATTTACTGTCTCTTTCGCCATTGAGCGCTTTTCTTCTGTTTTTTTCTCCGCCCCACCCGGGGAAAAAAAACGCGGACAGTTGACTTTCCGATTTCTTTTTTCGTATTAGGAAGTTTAGCCGAGCCTTAGGGATGTCCTAGTTGCCTAACAAAGGAAAGTTGGAAAAAAATAAATAATAATAATAATAATTTACTATTATTATTTTTTTGTATGTTCCTAAAATGAACCGTCGATCTTTATCTCCCTAGTTGTATCTTCAAGCTGCTGTGAGGACAGAAACCACATTACTCAAGCCGTTGCTGCAGGTCGTTTCTGTCTCGTTGTCTCTGTTCGTTGGCTGGAGCCGAATTGCTGATAACAAGCATTTTTTAACCGATGTTCTGGCTGGATTTGTACTTGGAGCCATTTTTGCATGGTTTGTGGTGAGTCTGGCCCTGTATTTGCTGTAATCAAACCTGCTTCTACAACCTTCCCGCACTGCCTCGTTTGCTGCAAGTTTTGCTCACGCGTCCCAGAACTTGACTGTCTTTTCTGAAGTATTTATTTCTCATCTGATACTTTCGTTCCTCTGAAAACTGCTCTTTTTCGAGATAGAGAGAAACCCCGAGAGAGATGCCTAACGAGCAGAAGTTTTTCTCTTTTATGACTTTTTACGCTAACGAAGTCGTTTGCGTCGTTTGTCAGTCGCGTATGGGCAGAGAGAAAAAAAAAACGTGACGAGCACTCCGCGGCGCAGGACGCTTTCCCTCTGTGTCAGATCTCTTTGGGATCTGGAATTGATTTCGTGACCCAGCGAATATGTAAGAGAATAAAGAATGGATTTTTATCTTTCATTGCAGGCTTTCGAGATCCTGAAGCTTTTTGCTATTCGAATTCGCAAGCCAAAAGTGTACACACTGTTGCCGCAACAACAGCGAACGTCTGCCTCAGATGAATGAAACTGCTTGTTAGATCTGCAGACTTATCAATCTTTTTTACTATACTTAACTGACCTGTGTAATCACACTGCAACTATCTATAGAAACCGTATGGATGTAGTATTTTCGTCTGAATTTAATTGGGATCTGTATTCTTTATATCCTTCGTGGATATGAGGTGCATCAAATCAGTCAATTGTGTAATTTAGAGTTTCAGCCGGCTTAACGATATTCAGTTTACCTGTAGTTATTTTTAGGAGATCGAGAAAGGTCGGTTTTGGACAAGTTCCTCTAACCAAAGGAAAAGTATTTTTGCAAAATAATAACAAACAAACAAACAAAACAAGACCAAAAATTGTAAGAAATTTTAATCAAGCATAAGCCGGCATTAGTCTTCTCTACCATGTAGGGCTACTTGTTTTGATATTGACATTAGATTGCTGATTATTATTATTAGTTCTAACTGAAGAGAGGATATCCTCTCTTGTTCTAACCTATGGTCAAGTCCTTGTAATGAGCTAGATAATTTACAAGAGGAAATTAAAGGATAAAATAGGTCACAATTACAAGTACAGGTACAAATAATTAATTACTAAGTAGTAGCGTTTGAAGTTTGAAGTTTGAAGTTTATTAATTCATAAATACATAGCAGTTCGGCGAAAACTGAATTGCGTATTTAGGTTACAAAAATCAAATTATAGTTCTAAACATTAACTAGTCTATCTTAATGAAAAGGAATAAAAAAGCTAACAAGAAATGAGATGCTAAAAAAAGTTATAGAAATACAACCTGCGAAATCGAAAACTCTGACCTAAAAGTTAATTGCTTTAAGACATGAAAAGATAATAAAGGTATTCTTAAAATGGTCGGTTTTAAAACCTGGCATGTTAAGAGGTCGTGCGCGCCTTAAGTAATGAATAAGTAGATTCGTGCGGTGCAGGTAATAACTTATAAAGGCGGTGATTGTTGTCATTTATAGTTGTGTGAAAAAGTGACTCACATGTTTCGTCATGGTGGGTCGCTAATTCCGCTGTCGCTATTCAGGGGCCGCGGTGCCCAGCGTTCTGGCAGTTGGCTTCTCTTCAGACCTGGATTATTTATTACCCTGAAGAGAGTAAAACTCTTCACGCTGGTCTCAAACTACCATTTAATTCTGGTCTTATACCAAAAATGATTACACTGTCTCTTACATGCTCTTCGTATACATTGCGGAGGTGTTCAATGTCTCCAAAATTTGACGCTTCCCTGCAAATCTGTGCAATATTTCCAAAGTCTTCATAAAGAAACCAACATCTTTGACGGAACTGTCCCAGGGCAGTGTCAAGCTCTTGCCGTGTAATCTCATCTTCTGGCGTGGTCTCTGGGGGAGAAGTTGGTTGATAGGACAATACTCGGCACGTTGAGCCGAACTGAACTCACGCGGGTCGCTTTCACCGAAGCACTGTAAGTTCCGGAACTTTGACTGGCAGGTTTGGCAAGGTCTTTTTGATCTTTCATACCCCTCTCCCCCAAATGCTTCAGATTGCCATTCAACGTTCGTCTCTGCCGTTTCTAGAGGCTCGTTATATATCACTGCTCTTTTCAGGCTCAGTTTAAAATGACGAATTCTATTGTATAAATAAAGAGGCCTTAAGAAGTGACTGACTGCCACTGATGAACCGGCAGACCATTTTTTTTTCTTCTCCTTTTCATCTCTCAGAGAAACTTTGGTCAAAACCTTAGACCTGAATCTGTTGCGCCGTCTATCCCTTCCTTCTAGAGGTCTATTTAGATATCTCAACAAATCTGTCGCCATCTGCCATACTAGATCAGCATGTTCTTCGCTGCCCAGGTTTTGTCCATCATAAACTGCCATAATACTAAACTGAAATTAAAAAAGAAAACTGAAATAGGGGACATAGCTGTTAAGCTGCAGCATGAAAAAAAAGGGTAAATTTCCCTTATTTTCTCTTTTGCCGTTACTGAAGGCTCATTATTGCTTTTTTCAGGCTCTGTTTAAAATAAGAGATTCTCAATTGTATATAACTGAAGAGGCCTAAAGAAGTGACTGACTGAATTGATACGACGGGAAACCTTTAGCACTGAAAACTTTTGGCCTGAATTTGTTACGACGTCTATTTGTTTTTCCTTGGGGATTGATTCAGTTTAACTTGACCAAACTTTTGTCATCTCCCATACTCAAGTTTCCAGCATGTTCTTTGATGCGCGGTTTTCGTCTGCGAACCTTTTTCGGTCTGCGATCCATGCCCATGTGACTAAACTGAAGTTGAAAAATGTTTATGGGGTGTGAATGTGAAACTGCAAGGTGAAAATGTGGAAAACTTTCCTTATGTTTTAGCTTGTGGAATAACATAACGGAGTCAGTGGCAACGACACCATACGGCGTTAAAAAATAACACCAGCTTCTCGCTGCCATGTAATTTTTCACAATTGATTTTAGCCTGAATATAATATCAGTTGGGCAAGTTTTGCTTACAACAGACTCGCACTATATGAAGATCTGAGTACCTACAAGTTACCCAGTTTTACTAGTATGTTTGATCATGTGTTCTCAGTTAACAAGGAAAATGCAGCGTAACCTGGCAGAGAATTTCGAGATTTCATTCCAAGAATTCGTTTTGTCTTACGCTTACTTACAATTTCCAACAATTTGCTCCCAGGGTCGATGGCACATTCTATCTCTGGCGCGTCATCTGCACCCAATTCAAGATATTCACCCACTTCTCTAAGGTTTAATATGTCGGCAGCAGCATCCCTTCCAAAGCCGTGAAACTCCATATGCAATTTTAAGCTCTGGTAGATATCCCTAAAGTGTTGTTTCACATTCTCAGGTAAAGGATTTGGACTTTCCATGCATCTGTCCAAGAGGAGCGATAGAAGATCACGCATGCGAACAACATCATCTCTCAAATTATCCCTCTCGTTTTCCTCATTAACTCTCACTATTTTTCTCATGAATATTCTGAGATCGTTATCTGTAGGAAACCACATTTTTTCACCCTTGTAAATCGTTCAGATAAAAGTGGACTTCTAAGTTGATCCAGGAGTGCCCGCAGACTTGTGCAAAAGCAGGGTATGGTAAAATGAATGAAATTAAATGAAATTGCATCGCTATGTATTTCTTAGTAACATTGTCATGCCAACTAAACAAAACAACTGTCCTGAACTGATTTGAGTCGTCTGCTAAAAAATCAAAACATGATAAACTCTCTCAATTTTGTTTTTTTGTTTGTTTCGCCGCTTTGTTGAGGATGACCGTATGCATGGGATAAAATTAAACAATTATTCCAAAAGTGCTCGTTGAATATGAGATGGTAGTAGCCAACGAGGTGTGTAGCGCCGAGTTGGCTATAATCATCTCATATCCAACAAGCGCAGTGGAATAATTGTTTTATTAAAAACGCCCACAAAATATCGAGAGTTCTTCCCGACTTCATTTGTAAAAACAATCGATTTTCAGCTTGTTTTTAATTTTTGAGCAGACCCGTACAGTTACCCCAGGAGAGCATGGTACAATGGCTGATAATGATGGCTAAGCCAATCAGAGATCTAGAATTGCATTATACAATGATTCAGTTTTTAATAAAAAGTAATCTACTTGAGTTATATTATTTTCAGAAATCTGACTTGGTAAAGAAAATTAACTCTTCGAAGAGGTTACCGTTCTTTTTAAATGGCTTCTAAGTGTGATTCATGCTTACCTGCATCGATGTTAAGTTCATCTTTGATAGTGTACGTTTAGGTTTGTCCAGCTCTGCAAATATTCTCCAAATAGCAGATGTCGCCCTCCGAGCTGTCTTCTTGCTATTTTTGGTATGCTTTAGCTATTATTTCGCCTAGTTCCAGCTGTAGTTCTTACTCTTGAAACGAGCGAAGTGTCCACCATTTTTGCTTTCACAACCAAAACAACTCAATCTCGTCCCCAGGTCTTCTCGGTTAACGGTGCATTAACCTGTAGCGGGTTGCATTTTTGACATCATTTCCTCGTTAAACACAAAATTCTTCCAAATTTGGTCATCAGTAACTGGTTATGGTGAATTATGCGTGTGCTTTTAGCCAATCAGAGTTGGGGAAATATTTTGAATGAATAATAAATATCAATATCAGTTTTGTACATATCAATCATTTTCTTTTTAAATCAAAGTAGTAAGAGACTAACTTTTTTAAACTAGCATACAATCTGTCTTAATCTGATAAGTTTTTCAAAATTGTTTTATCTTTAAACTCATAAATTTTTGTTCTATTTTTTTTTTTAAATCTTACATTGTAAATCGGTTTAGAATATTTTATAATTTTAGCACTGTATAAATCTAATTTATTATTATGATTATGATTATCATTTCCTGTTAGTTGAATTTTCTATTTGGATATTACGTTTCGCGAGGATTTTTATTCACGGGTCTTTAATGTGATGTTTGTTTTCACTTAAGCCTGCGTAGCTGGCGGAATTCTTTTCTGCTTGTGTGAATGATTTGACTGCGAAACCGCGTTTGAGAAGCGAGCGCCGAGGGATATATAGCCGGAAAACATCGAGAAAACATCGTCTCTTCCCCATTCTCCGCACGGCTACCCAGCTCCTGTGCTAAAACTTTGCTCGCGCTATAACGATCCCGCCAGCTTCGCAGGCTATCTTAGCTTAGGGGTAGAAATTGCTGATACACGTCTGCTTTTTCTTTTTTTTTCTTTAATAACATTTATTCAATCGACAATCAACAATCAAAAATACTTACAAACACTACGATACTTACACTACTTACAATACAATATTTAGAATACAATAGACTAAGGTACTTACTCTGTTTACAATGTAAAGACTTACAATACTCAGTACTTACAACACTACCTACTCACTACTCGCACTACAATGCACTATTTACAAGCAGTTCTAATTAGTAATTGTACTTCAAAACCAACATTTACAAAACCAAACATTCACGGTAAACGCACTTATATCTTAAGTGTCTTAAAGAGGCAGCGATTGTGAAGCAAAAGATACACCAGGTTAATGCTGGAGAAAATGAGCAGAGGATCGAGATATACAAATGTATACAAAATCAAAGGCTTACTGAAATAAGGAGCTCACATTTTCCCATTTTTTTGGTAAAATGGGACCTGCAGTGGTCTCTATGTGGTAGAATGATTTGAGGTATTGCAGGAAGCCTGCTATCTTTGGCGAGGTTTCCCTTCTTTTGCTAATCCAGATGTAATTTCTGGCTAGAAGGAAAAGGAAATTAATTTGCTGGCAGTTTTTTGAAGAATCCGGCTTTAGACCAAGTGCAACAAATATATCTAATGTGTAATGTTCCGGTGTAATGTGGAGCAAAGTCAGCTTAAGAGATAAACTATGCCAGAAAAAGGCCACTTTAGGACAAGACCAAAAAAGATGAAGAAGTTTCTCCGGTTCATTATTACAAAAAGAACAATTTGGGTTGTCTTTTACGCCAATTTTTGTTAAGAAGTCGTTCGTTGATATTCGTCTATGTAAAAATTTATATTGGAATTCAATAATTCTTGTACTTTTAGTATATTTAGCGGCCAACTGGTAGGCTTCCCGCCAATTAATCGCCTCCACATCATTTTCGTTGCAGTCTTTTAGCCATTTCTGTTGATTATGGGATGGTAACTTGCATTTTGTAGAAAGCAACTTGGTGTATACAAGTTTGCTCGCACTTTGGCATTCTGTTAATCTTACTACAAAGGTTTCATAATTGTTGCAGTTTTTGATACAGTTTGTTTTACATGTAGTCCAAAGAGATTTTAGAGCAGACACTAGTCCGAAATACTTTAAAAGACAAACTTTGAGGCTGTATTTTTGCTGCAGCTCAGCTAGTGATAAAAATTTGTTATGTTCATCTTTCAAATGTTTCACTTTCGTAACGCCTCGATCAAACCATTCACGATAGAAGACGGGGCAGTTATCGATTCTAATGAGTGAGTTGTACCATAAAGTTTGTTCAAGAAATTGTTTCTCGGACGTTATGTTTTCATCAAAATTGACTTCCGCCCAGATTGAAAGTATCTCTTTTATAAAGTTATTCTTAATCTTGAGATTCTCAATGGTATCTTTCTTGTTTAAATTACTAGTGAGGACTATTGTGCCTCCAAATCGCTCTAACTCTATATCAAAAAAATATTTCCATTTTCCCTGGTTCTCTTCATCCAGATATTTTTTAATCCATGTAGCTTTCAGGGACTTGTTAAAAGACTGTATGTCTATCATTTTAAGTCCTCCATTAGCATAATCGTTTGTTATAATGTCTCGTTTGATTTTATCTCCTTTTCCATTCCAGAGGAATGAAAAAAATAACTTGTTTACTTCTTTGATAATTTTCACATTTGTATGTAAAGGTGAGAGCACATAAACGAGCTGAGAGGCAACCAGACTTTTTAGGACCGTTATCTTTCCAACTAGGGTAAGTCTACGGTATTTCCAGCAGCTCAAAACATTCCGGACCTTATCTAGTTTTTCATTATAATTTAAAGTTGCAGTTGCTTCCGGATCATTTGAAAACCAGACACCTAAAGCTTTAACTTTACACTTCGGCCATTTAAAGTTTCTTCCGACAATTGATATTTCATCTTTGTTACAATTTGCCCCAATCCAAAAGGCTTCTGTTTTTTTGTCATTAAGTTTTAAGCCAGAGACTTCATAAAAATCGTCCAGTGTTTTGAGAGAGGCTATTAACGATTCCTTTGTTCCATCTAGTATAAGAGTTGTATCGTCTGCATACTGACTTAGTTTTATTTCTTTACCGTTTACAAAGATCCCTTTAATACTTTTATTTTCACGAATTGCCTTAGCTAAAACTTCTACTGCCAGAACAAACAGATAAGGTGAGAGGGGACAGCCTTGCCTTACACCTTTTTGGATTTCAAAAAAATCACTCGCCCAACCATTATTCAAAACGCAGCTTTCTGGGCAGCAATAGAAAAGGTTTAGCCATTTTAAGATGCTACTACCAAAACCAAAATGTTGAAAGGTTTTCCTAATGAAAGGCCATTCTATCGTGTCAAAAGCTTTTTCAAAATCTAAAAACAAAAGTAATCCTGGTATATTGTTTTCTTTAGCGTAGCAAATAACGCTATCGATAAGGCGGATGTTTTCTCCGATAAAACGACCTCTTATAAAGCCAGTCTGGTCGTAATTAATGAGATCAGGGAGGAGAGGTTTCAAGCGATTAGCAATTGATTTTGCCGCTATTTTATAGTCGCTGTTCAGGAGGGTTAGGGGTCTCCAATTCTTAATAAAGAACGGTTCTGCGTCTTTCTTAGGGATAAGTTTGATAATTCCTCTTCTCTGGGTTATTGAGAGTTTTCCAGTTTCATAAGCGTAGTTCAGTGCGCTAATTAGGGTGCTGGATACATCTTTCCAAAACACTTTGTAAAATTCGGCTGGTAGGCCGTCGGTCCCAGGGGTCTTTTCTGATTCCATATCTCTTAAAGCCTCAAGGCACTCTTTTTCAGTTAAAACTCCTTCGCACGAAGTTAATTCATGTTCGTCAATGGCTCTTTCATCACCACCCTCAAAGAAAACAGTTGTACCATCTTGGTTGTATGTGTTACCTTTGGATGAGTAGAGATTTTTATAGAACGCCACACATTCAGTTAATATTTTTTTATCCGAGGTGACAAATTCGCTATCGTTTATTTTAATTTGACTTATTGTCCCTTGCTTGTAGTGTCGTTTTTCTAAATTAAGAAAATACTTGGTGTTTTTCTCTCCTTCATTATACCATTTAGACTTAGATCTCAAAATTGCGCCTTTGGTGCGGATTTCAATTATCTTTTCAAGCTCAAGCCTGCTTTCATTCAATTGTTCCTCCAGGTGTAAGGAGTGCATTTCATCGGAGTTTTTATTATCGAGATCCGCTTCTAATCTGGCAATTGTTTGTTCCAGAAATGTTTCGCGTTGTTTAGCTTGCTTTGTTTTGCTCTTGGAGTAGCGGAGCGATTTTTCGCGCACTTTTAGCTTTATCATTTCCCAAAGAAGT